GCCCCTCCGGCCCCGGGTCCCCGCCGGGCGCTTCTCAGGCACTGCCCCCCTGCCCGAGGGAGCCCCGTTCTCTCCGTTTGGGAGGCTCGGGAGAAGCGGCGTGTGGGACATGCCATACCGCTCCTCTGGCGTCCCGGCTGCGGGGCGTGACCCAAGCCTGGCGGGAAGCTCCCAGGTGTTGGTCATGGCAGGATTTCCCAGAGCATCCCGGCGTGTCTTTCGAGTGAGTTTTCTGTGCGGTGTTCGTGCAAGAGGGAAAGGAGAGCAAAGTTCACCGCCGGGAAGTACAGGAGAGTTGAGTTTGTAGGAGCAGCCGGTGGGTTTTGGTAGGGATCAAGGGGCCCCGAATCCCCTGGTGTGCTCCCCAGAATCCCGGAGGGGCGGAGTGTCCCCGGCGGAAAGGTATCAACACCGATAAGCGGCCTCGGCGCGTTTATCGGTGCTGATGGCTTCCTGGAGGCAATCATTGATGAAGCCGTGGAAAGCCTTACGGTGCCGGAGGGAGTTGGTTTGTGGAAGAAGAGGGAAATGGACACTTTCAGGTGGTTCTATGAAAGCGGCAGTCGGCGGGATAGCAGCAAAGCAGGACATCCGGGAGAGGGGCTGGCACGGTGCTTCCACCCCCACCCCCAAGCAGCTTCCAGCTCTGCCCCTGCCTGCAAGTGTCCGTACATTCAGCTCCGGCGGTTTTTCCCCTAAGGACTGGAAAGCACTTTCTTAGGGCTGGAGACTGAGCTATCACTTTAACACCTGTGCAGCTGCCCAGACCTGTCAAAGGCTCGACTTGTATACATCTTGCGGGTCCTGTATTTTAAGGGAGGTTGAACACATGTAGGAAGCTGCGTATCTTTTTGGGACCCTGAAGCAGGTGAAGCTTGGGAAAATGCCTTGCTCCTTTTTCCTATTTGTAGTCGGTTGGTGTACTAATAATTTGCAGAAACTCTGAGCGGGTTTTGTGCATTTTTTTTTCTTCTTGCAGTTATCTTGGGGAAAAAAAAATCCAAAACAAATACTACAGAGACATTTACTGTCTAGAGTCAGATGACTTTTCCATGGAAATGAGTCATCCGACATACTTAAATCTGAAACAGTAAGTGAAAGCAAGCATGTGGTTTTCACTGTCCTAGTCCTTGATAGAGAAAAAGCTTGATCCTGAAACATCTGTTGAAAGTGCAAAGCAAGAGTTTAAAAGCCATACCTAATGTCACTAGGCAGTTGGTTCCACAGTGTTCTAAGATGGCTTAATGTGGCTGCACACAAAGTGGGGCATTTCAGCTGCAGTGATGCAAGCAGATTACTGCTCAACTTCTGTTGAAGACTTGTAGGCATTGCTAATTTCAAATGGTAATTTTATTTTCTATTAAGGTTTTCTCTGAAGACAGCATTTGCTAACTTAGAGCCATATCCTGAAATAGGCACTGAATTTGCTATGGACAGAGCAGGTTAAAACAAACGTGGAGCTGCTGGCTGCATTACTGTAGCATTCAAGTATCCTTATGTTATAGAAAACATACAGTTCAAGTGTTTCTGTTGAGAATAATGTTTTCTTCCATTATTTTTATTCCATTGTAAAGAGAGCCAGATTGAAAAAAAGTGATTTAAAACAGTGCACAGAGAGATGAGACAGGAGAGTGGAACCAAAGCCTCCAGGCCCTACACTTGGTTACTGTCCACTGGACTGGACATTTTATTGTGGTGAATCTGAGGGAGCAGTTAAACCAGTAGCTGCATTCAGATACTCTGAGTTGTTTGAAGGCTCTCAAGACAGGAAATGCAGCTTCTTGACTAATCGTAAATCTTGTATTATCTGAACTGTAACTTATACCTCAAAAGTTTGAGAGCAAATTGTTTCTTCCATTTAGCAGTATAGGCATGGTGGTTTGCTTGCTGAAGTTGCTAATTTAGGAATAGTACAAAATACCTAGCTTTTTTTTTTTCTTACTGCATTTTATATTACAAAGTCATAGAGATAGCTATGTCCACCTGGTAATGACAGTCCCTTTTCAAGGGTGCTTGTTTAAAATTGACTGCATAAAAATGGGGAAAACTTAGAATGTCCAGTTTCACACAGAGGGAATGGAAGGACAGAGATTACAGTAGTATTTCAATATTGGACACCCAGTGCCAGTAGAATTGAATCTTATCTTGGCTCAGAGCCAGATCTGAGTACCATGCTTCCCCCGTAGTTTGCCTGAGGGCATAATCTCTGTAAGAAATCCTTCAAAACAAGTGAGAATTATGGGTAAAATGATCCTAAATTTTGCAGGCAGTCTGCTTCTAAGCTTCTAAGACAGGGCTATCTGACTTTGATAGTTCCTCTCAAATATTAATGTTTTGGAGATCTACAGATTTTTGCAGATACCCTCCAATTTTATTTTTTTTTTTAATCAGGGAACGGGAATAATTTTAATATAGAATTATGAAGACTTCAAGGGGATGTGAGCTTTTCCTTGCAAAAGGGTGTAATTTGAATCCGAGTTTATATAAAGAATGTATGTAGACAAATCCATCTCTGATAAAACTTTTGACAAATGCTTTTGCTGGCAGCCAGATTTTGCCATGATGGCTTGCTTTTGGAAAACAGGAATTCTGTATAACTGCATCTTTAGATTAGAAAAAAGTACAGACCCCTAGGT